TGCCGGCCGGCTTCATGCAAATGAAGCCCGGGAAATTCAAATCCCGGGCTTCATTTCCACCTCCGTATGACTACATTCCCCCCGCTAGTTCGAACTAGCGGGGGTAGTGTAGACATACCCTGAGAGTGGCACGCAGGGACGTGCGCTGCTGGACAAGCTCCTCCAGCAGCTGATCATGCCACCGAGCCTCTGCCTCCATCCTTTCTCGCAGGATGGTGTTGAGCTCCTGCAGGACCGCCACATGCTGCCTCAGGATGTCTGCATAGACATGTCTGTGTCTGTGTCTGCGGCTCCCATGTCCCTGGGATGGAGGTGGGGCTGGGGTGCTGTGGCCCTCTTGCATGGCTGTGGAGGAAAAGAGGAAGACACAATCAGTCATGTGTGCAACAGCTGTCCACAAGGACATGCCCTCTCCTTCAGTCAGGGGACTCAGACGATCTGAAAGTAACACCACGTGTGACCTGGGTATCAGCCTGAGCATCACAGAAGTCCCGAAGTGCCAATGGGGCCTCGCACTGAGAACCCACCTGGGTGTATTCTGGACATGGTTTATGCCACCATGTGGTGCACCCCCATGTGTCATACTCTACCACTGGACATGTTGGCACATGCACAGCTAGCTGCATGATGTCCAAGGTCAGCATTACAGATTTCCCTTGTGAATCACCCACTGTGCACCCACCTCCCCCGCCCTGTGTGTTGCACGACCTCACTGCACTCACTTGCTGCTTCATCTCCGGCATCAGATGACACCTAGGAGGCCTCTGGGGTCTGAGTAACTGGCTCCAGAGTGAGGGTCATGATCTCCTAGCTGTCCTCCTCCTTCGGCACCATCTCCCTGTCTCCAGACTCCCTGGACTGCTCTAGGTCCTGCTTTGGTGTGTCCACCACGGGGTCCCCGGAGCCAGACTGGACGAGACACAGTGGTGTGCGTGCTTCACCACCACCAAGGATCTGGGCCAACTCAGAATAATAAGGGCTGCCCCAGAGCGGGAGCTCTCCTTCCTGGCCTTAACATAGCCCTGGTGCAGCTCTTTCACTTTAGAGCTCACCTGGTCCTGGGTGCGGGGGTGGTGCCCTCTCTTGGCCAGGGTCTCTGCCATGAGGCCAAAAATTTCCACATTTCCCCGCCTTGTGTTCAGGGCTTGTAAGGCCTCCTCCTCTGACCAGAGCTCAAGAAGGGTCTTGAGCTCTGGCCCAGACCATACTGGTGCCTGGCATTTGGAGCCCCTGGTTGGGTCCCCAGAAGGCTCTCTGGAAGGGCCAGGAGGGTCTTGGGGCTGGGACATGGCTGCACTGGAAGAGCCATGTGCTCTGACTGCTTTGCTGCCACAACTGGTTTTGAGGGTGACTGTTCTTTTAAAACCCTCTAGGATGGACCGCCACCTTGTCGTGGTTGGAGGGCTTGCATGTCTCAATGACCCCTAGAACTATGCTGGCTGGAGCTTTGTGCTCCTGGTAGGGTTTCCCATGCCAGACAGGTCGAAGGGTAGAGACCAGACGAAGTGTGGTCCCTGGTCCTCCAGGTTGGGGGTTTGGCACAGGGCTAACCACCCTGTCCTAGGAAACATTTGGGGTTACGGAAACAGCAACAAAGAAAACTTTCACGAACAGGTGTGATGGACCTTTAGGGTCTCCTCAAGGGGTGAATGTCAGTGGTGAAGCCACTTTGTGGAAGCCACTGACAGGATGATAGAGGTTTTGAACACCAAAACAAAGACAAAGTTAGGATTTTGGAATGTTCGTACGATGTACCAGATAAGCAAGGTGGCGCAAGTAACAGCAGAGATGCGTTGTTACAGCCTGCATATTTTGGGCGTTAGTGAGAGCAGATGG